TTTTAGTAGAGACGGGGTTTCACCATGTTGACCAGGATGGTCTCGATCTCTTGACCTCGTGATCCACCCGCCTCGGCCTCCCAAAGTGCTGGGATTACAGGCTTGAGCCACCACGCCCGGCGAGAGGTCGTGTTTCTGAAACTCTCTATCCTTCCTTCTTTTGGAGCTTGCCCTGGGTGAATACCCTAGCAGGGCATGGGGAGTGCCTTCTGTTCTCAAAAACCTTAGTCATTGGGAGGCTGAAGTGGGAAGATTGCTTGAAGTCGGGAGTTTGAGACCAGCCTGGGCAACATAGTGAGACCATGTCCCTTAAAAAAAAAATTAGCTGAACATGGTGGCATGTGCCTATGGTCCCAGCTACTTGGGAGGCTGAGACGGGAGGATCACTTGAGCCCAGGAGTTCGAGGCTGTGGTGAGCTATGATCACACCACCATACTCCCGCCTGGGTGATAGACTGAGATGTTGTCTCTTTAAAATAAATAAATAAATAAATAAATAAATGCTATTATTTTTAAAGTTTTTTTCTTTAATTTTTACTTTATTTTTTATTCTACTTTTTTTGAGGTGGAGTCTCACTCTGTCTCCCAGGCTGGAGTGCAGTGGTGCGGTCTCAGCTCACTGCAACCTCCGCCTCCCAGGTTCAGGTGATTCTCCTGCCTCAGCCTCCCAAATAGCTGGGACTACAGGCAGGCACCAACCTGGCCAGCTGATTTTTGTATTTTCAGTAGAGATGGGGTTTCACCATGTTGGCCAGGGTGGTCTCGATCTCTTGACCTCGAGATCCGCCCTCCCCAGCCTCCCAGAGTGCTGGGATTACAGGAATGAGCCACCACGCCCAGCCAATAAATAATTTTTTAAAAAAAGACATCAGTTAGTGAGGTTCAGGTCTGAGAGGGGAGGCAGGGCCCTATCCTGAAGATCTGTGTTTCACCCCATCTTGGGGGGCTGAGACCCACCGTACCCTGGGCATCTGTGGGGACAGTGCTTTGCCCTGGGGTTTTGGGGGATGGAAACAGGGCCCTGCTGTGAGGGGTCTGAGATGAGGAGACAGAGTTCTTTTCTTGGGCTTATTTGAGGGGGCTGAGCTCAGCTTCCTGCCCAGTGGGGAGGGCTGGGTGGTCTGAGGCCGCATGGAAGGCCTGTCTTTGCCACTGCCTTGGCCCTGGCCAGCCAGGTCACCTCCTTGGAAGACTCTGAAGCTACCCTTTAGCTTCCCCTCACGCCACCCTCCCATCTCTCACCCACCTCACCCTTATGGAGAGACCCGCACACCCACTCCCCCAATGCCTCAGTCTGGCAGGACCCCCCCAGGGCGAAGCCGTGTCTGAGAACATGGGGACAGTTATCTACTGTGTTTGTCATAAGCTGGGGTGCAAGGGTGGGCGCTGGCCTCCACATCTGCAGCTGTGGCTGTGACCAGAGAGCCTGCCTGTTTCTGCCTCCTCTGGAAGTCCCCTTCCCCTCTCACGCCTCCACTTTCCTGCCTGCAAAGGGTTTAATTTGTTTTTTTGAGATGGAGTCTCACTCTGCTGCCAGGCTGGAGTGCAATGGTGTGATCTTGGCTCACTGCAGCCTCCGCTTCCCGGATTCAAGCAATTCTGCTGCCTCAGCCTCCCAAATAGCTGAGAATACAGGTGCCCACCACCATGTCCAGCTGATTTTTTTCGGAGTTTTAGTAGAGATGGGGTTTCACCATGTTGGCCAGGATGGTCTCAATCTCCTGACCTTGTGATCCGCCTACCTCGGCCTCCCAAAGTGCTGGGATTACAGGCGTGAGCCACCATGCCTGGCCTCTGAAAAGGATTTAAAACTTCTCCTGGCCAGGTGCAGCGGCTCATTTCTGTAATCCCAGCACTTTGGGAGGCTGAGATGGGCAGATCACTTGAGGTCAGGAGTTGGAGACCAACCTGGCCAACATGGTGAAACCTCATCTCTACTAAAAATACAAAAGTTAGCCGGGCGTGGTGGTGTGTGCCTATAATCCCAGCTACTGAGGAGGCTGAGGCAGAGGAATCGCTTGAGCCCGGGAGGCAGTGGTTGCAGTGTGCTGAGATCGCACCACTGCACTCCAGCCTGGGCGACAGAGGGAGATCCTGTCTTAAACACAACAAAACATAACAAAATAAACTTCTCCCTACTTCCCGGGATTTGACAATGAGTTGATATTTCTACATTCAACACCCAGCATACAGCAAATATGAACTGTTTATACATGCTAGAACTGAATAGGAACAAAACATTCTGAGCTTTTATTCAGTCCATCATTTTTTTGTTCTTGTTTTTTTCCAGACAGGGTCTCACTCAGTTGCCCAGGCTGGAGTGCAGTGGCAACATCTTGGTTCATTGAAGCCTTGACCTCCCGGGCTCAAGCGATCTTCCCACTTCAGCCTCCGAGTAGCTGGGACTACATGCCATCATGCCTGGCTAATTTTTGTATTTATTTTATTGATTTATTTATTTTAGATGGATTCTCGCTCTGTCAGTCAGGCTGGAGTGCAGTGGCAGGATCTTGGCTCACTGCAACCTCTGCCTTCCGGGTTCAAGCGATTCTCCTGCCTTAGCCTCCTGAGTAGCGCACACCACCATGCCCAGCTAATCTTGGTATTTTTAGTAGAGACGGCATTTCACCATGTTGGCCAGGATGGTCTCCATCTCCTGATCTTGTGATCCCTCCGCCTCGGCCTCCCAAAGTGCTGGGATTATAGGCATGAGCCACCATGCCCGGCCTCTGCAAAGGGTTTAAAATTTCTCCTGGCCAGGGGCAGTGGCTCACTCCTGTGATCCCAGCACTTTGGGAGGCCAAGGCAGGCAAATAACTCGAGGTCAGGAGTTTAAGACCAGCCTGGTCAACATGATGAAACCCATCTCTACTAAAAATACAAAAATTAGCTGGGTGTGGTGGTATGCACCTGTAGTCCCAGCTACTCAGGAGGCTGAGGCAGCAGAATTGCTTGGAGCTGGGAGGCAGAGGTTACAGTGAGCTGAGATTGTGCCACTGCACTCCAGTCTGGCAAAAGAGCGAGACTCTGTCTCAAAAAAAAAAAAAAAAATGTTGCTGGCTTGGAATGGTGGCTCATGCCTTTAATCTCAGCATAGGAGGCTAAGAGTTCAAGACCAGCCTGGGCAGCATAGTGAGATTCTGTCTCTAGAAAAAAAAAAAGAAATTAGCCAGGGGCCAGGGTAGGACACGGTGGCTCATGCTGTAATCCCAGCACTTTGGGAGGCCGAGGCAGGTGGATCACCTGAGGTCAGGAGTTTGAGACCAGCCTGGCCAACATAGTGAAACCCCATCTCTACCAAAAATACAAAAATTAGCTGTTGTGATGGCACACACCTGTAATCCCAGCTACTCGGGAGGCTGAGGCAGGAGAATCACTTGAACCTGGGAGTTGGAGGTTGCAGTGAGCCGAGATCGCACCACTGCACTCCAGCCTGGGAAACAGAATGAGACTCCATCTCAAAGAAAAAAAAATTCTCCAGGTGTGGTGATGCCCACCCTGTAATCTCAGCACTTTGGGAGGTCCAGGAGGGAGGACTGCTTGAGCCCAGGATTTCAAGACCAGCCTGGTCAACATAGCAAGACCCCATGTCTACTAAAAATTAAAAAATGAGCTGGGCGTACTAACACATCCACAGTGCCAGCAGCCCGAGAGGCCGAGGCAGGAGGACTGCCGGAGCCCAGGAAGTCAAGGCTGCAGTGAGCTCTGCTCACATGATTGTGCTGCAGCCTAGGTAACAGAGTGAGACACTACCTCCAAAAAAAAGGAAGAAAAAAAAATTAGCTGAACACAACGCCCCACACCTGTAATCCCAGCACTTTGGGAGGCTGAGGCGAGAGGATTGCTTGAGCCCGGGAGTTCGAGACCAGCCTGGGCAACATAGTGAGACCCCTGTCTCTGCAAAATATAAAAATATTAGCTGGGCATGGTGGCCCATGCCTGTATACAGTCCCAGCTGCTCAGGAGGCTGAGGCAGGAGGATCGCTTGAGCCCAGGAGATTGAGGCTGCAGTGAGGGCTATGATCGCAATTGCACTCCACCCAGCCCAGGACACAGATGGAGACCCTGTCTCTTAAAAAAAAAAAAATCTATCGGCTGGACACAGGCTCACGTCTGTAATCCCAACACTTTGAGAGGCTGAGGCAGGCGGATCACTTCGGGTCAGGAGTTTGAGACCAGCTTGGCCAACATGGCAAAACCCCATCTCTACTAAAAATACATATATTAGCTGGTCATGGTGGCATGTGCCTGTAGTCCCAGCTATTTGGGAGGCTGAGGCAGCAGAATCACTCAAACTTGAGAGGCGGAGGGGGCAGTGAGCCGAGATTGCACCACTGCACTCCAGCCTGAGCGACAGAACGAGACCATGTCTCAAAAGAAAAGAGAGTATTGGTCCTGTGATGGTCCCCGTCTCCTGGATGAGGAAACTCAGGCTCAGAGAGGTGAGGTGGCTTGCCCAGGGTCCCCAGGGCGAGTGTCCTGCCCGCAGCCTTACCCGGTCGGCCTGGCACTGGCGGAAGCTGGCGTTGATGCGGTCCAGGTCTCGGCGGGCATTCAGCAACATCTGCATGATGGCATCCTTGGCGCGGGTGGTGAGGTTGAGCTCCTTGGTCAGGTTGGTCTGGGAGGCCGAGAGCCCCACGACCTGGCTGTATAGGCCTTCAGCTCGGCGCTCGGTGGCTTGTAGGTTGGACTCCGTGCCCACGTGCACGTTACCGTAGACCATGAAGAGCACGAGCCCCAGGATGATGAGGAATTGGATGAGGGACACGAAGAGGAAGAAGTAGCGCAGGTAGTACCAGCAGCCGTGAGAGCTGCTGCCCGCCCGAGCGTAGGATGCTCCGTGCTCCATCGCCAGACCCATGTGCTCCCGTTGCCAGCCGGTGCACCGTCCCCGCTCGCCACCCGGCCTGCTCTGGCCCCCGCCTCGCAGGGGGGAGTGCTTATATTACTCCTCTTAATACTTCCTCTGCCTGGCTCCTTCCTGGCCCGGAGGAAACGGGGGCTGTGGGTTATCACAACACTCCCACCCTGGCTGTGAGAGCTTGGGGGAGGGGCTGGGGGCCCAGAGCCAAGGCAGGGCATGGCTGGACACCTCTGATTAATGCTGGGTGGGGTGCTGGCTGGCTGATCCGGCTTTCTCGGCCTCTTGGAGCCTCGCTTTTGCCTTTACTTGGTGGCGGGTGCTGTTCTCAGTACCTGCTGCAATTAGGTCACCGAGTCATGCCAGGCCTGTTACTGTCTCTCTTGTGTGGTGGGGGAAACTGAGGCACAGGGAAAAGAAGGGGCTGCCTCGGGGTCTCACGGAGCTTCACTTACCTCGAGACAGGCTGGTTACAGACGTGGACCCACTTCCCTGGACGGTGCTGATTAAATGCCACAAAATGTGGGAAAGGCACCGGGTGAGGTGGCTCACACCTGTGATCCCAGCACTTTGGGAGACCAAGGTGGACAGATCACCTGAGGTCAGGAGTTTGAGACCAACCTGGCCACCATAGTAAAACCCCCATCTCTATTAAAAGTACAAAAACTAGCCGGGTGTGGTGGCGCATGCCTGTAATTCCAGCCACCTGAGAGGCTGAGGCAGGAGAATCGCTTGAACCCAGGAGGTGGAGGTTGCAGTGAGCTGAGATCGCACCACTGCACTCCAGCCTGGGCGACAGAGCGAGACACTGTTTAAAAAAAAAAAAAAAAAAAAGTGTGAAATGCTTAGCTAGCCCAGGGACGGACAAACAGTAGGTGATCAGTAATTGCCCTCCAGACAAACAGGAGGGCGTCACGGAGGGCTGAGTCATGGATGGTGGTGGCGCTGGCTCCCCAAGCTCTGTCATTGCTCCCTGATGCCCTGTTCACTTAGGTGCTCAATAAATGCTCCAGGAAACTGCGGCACAGGAAGTAATGAGCTTGGAGCTGGGAAGAGCCGGCTCTGCTCTGTGTGAGCTCGGGCAAGAGGCCTCACATGTCTGTGCCTCAGTGTACCCCTGTGTGAGACGAGGCATGCCTGGTGCTTGGTCGCTCTGCAGCTGTTGTTATGATTAGGGTCATTTCTTGCTGGAGGCACTGCTGGGGGCTCCGTGAGTTGGTGACGGACAAGTGGTGGATAGATGGGACTCAGCTTCCTGCCCTGGACACTCAAAACCCCATGGGCGGCCGGGCACGGTAGCTCACACCTGGAATCCCAGGACTTTGGGAGGTCGAGGTGGGTGGATCACCTGAGGCCGGGAGTTCGAGACCAGCATGACCAACATGGTGAAACTGCCTCTACTAAAAATACAAAAATTAGACAGATGTGATGGCGGGCGCCTGTAATCCCAGCTATTTGGGAGGGTGAGGCAGGGAATCACTTGAACCGGGAGGCAGAGGTTGCAGTGAGCCGAGATCTCCACTGCACTCCAGCCTGGAGACAGAGTGAGACTCTGCCTCAAATCAAAAACAAAAACAAACAAACAAAGAAACCATGGGGGTCACTGTGGGTCACCTCCCTGGTGGGCCTGGGGGGGATTTGGGGACCAGGAAGCAAAGGATTCTGTGTGTCCTGCCCATCTCCCAGAATCAGGAGCTCCAGGGAAACCCTCCCTGCAGTCTCTGCTTTGTTTGTTTTCGTGCTGGGTGATGCCAGGTCCCCCAAGAGGCATCAGCCCTAAGCCCAGTCACGAGCAACTCCCTGTCTTGGGAGACAGACTGGGACAGACACCCCTTGTTCCATGGAGTCAGGGTGGGCTGGAAGGACAGCAGCTGGGAGCTGGAAAGGAGGCCGGATCCCAGATAGGTGACAATCGTGCAATTGCTGTCCTCTGTCCGGCAGTGTGGAGGCTGGGGTGCGGGGACCCGTCCTGCCATGAGCCAGGGTGACGAAGTGGGAGGGATGGTGGACAGAGCGGAGGGGTCCTCCAGGGTGGTGCGCAGTGAGGGGAGCGTCGAGTCAGGAAGAAGGAAGTTCCCAGGGGTTGGCAGGAAACCCACATCTGACTTTTGACCTTTGCAGCTACTGGGTGGTTCCTGGACCCTTCCCAGCCGGGCGGCTGCTAGTGGGGGAAGGAGGGCTGGGGGCTGCCACGGGTGCCCAACCAGCCATTTCTCCAGGTTGGCCAGACCCACCCAGAGCCCCCCAGAGCAGGGCAGGAGGAGGGCATCTTCCACAATGGGGGCAATGTAGTGTGAGGGAACCCAGCGTTACAATTTAGGCTTCTGGAGTTGAGTTCTGGCTGTGTCACCTACCAGCTTTGCGGCCTTGGAGAAGTGACTTTCCCTCCCTGGGCCTCAGCTTTCTGCTGTCTGAAGTGGAGATAGCCGGGCACAGTGACTCACACCTGTAATCCCAGCAATTAGGGAGGCAGAGGTGGGAGAACTGCTTGAACTCACAAGTCCGAGACAAACCTGGGCAACATAACGAGACCCTGTTCTAAAAAAAGCCCCCTCCAAACCAAAACAAAAACGAAAAGCAAGTGAAGACAACATAGCCAGTTTTGAAGTACTTGACACCATGCCTGGAACATTCTCAGTCTTAATAAATGATGGCTTTTTTTGGTTTGTTTGTTTTTTGTTTAGACGGAGTCTCGCTCTGTCGCCCAGGCTGGGGTGCAGTGGCGCAATCTCAGCACACTGCAACCTCCGCCTCCCGGGTTCAAACAATTCTCCTGCCTCAGCCTCCCAAGTAGCTGGGATTACAGGTCTGTGCCACCACCACCTGGATTAGTTTTGTATTTTTAGTAGAGACAGTTTTCACCATGTTGGTCAGGCTGGTCACGAACTCCTGACCTCAGGTGATCCACCTGCCTTGGCTTCCCAAAGTTCTGAGATTACGGGCATGAACCACCATGTCTGGCGATGATAGCATTTTTTAAGATTGGAGGGCTGGATTGTGCCTGGCCTCTGATACCAGGCTGAGGAACTGAGACACAGGGGAGGGGCAGTATCTTCAGCAGCTGGTTCCTCAGGCCTGCAAGAGCACTGGAGAAAGGAGGGCACGATGGGGATGAAGTGTGGGTGACCAGGGTCCAGTGGAATATCTGAGGCTGGGTGCAGCCTCTGGGCCAAAGCCAGGAGGTGTGGGTCTTGGTGTGCACTTAAGGTCTTGGCTGTTCTTCATTGTATATTGAAGATATTGCATCTTTGTAGGTATGAATGTGATATCAGTTGACAAGGAAAAATAAAGGCAATCTCAAACTCCCAGAAAACCGAAAAGCACTCCCTGGACCTGATGGTACTGATGTGCCACAATTTAGAGCAGTTGTCACCGTGTGAGAAGCAGAGTTTTAAATATACATACTAATGTCTTTTGTATCAAGCTCAAAAACAATATTTGACGTCCTTTCCTAATTTGATCTCACACCTTGAATTTGTAATGTTTGTTTTGAATTTGTTTTATTAGCTGATTTAACTTTGTAACTTATGTTTTTGTTTGTTTGTTTGTTTTGTTTTGAGACAGAATTTTGCTCTTGTTGCCCAGGCTGGAGTGCAATGGCTCGATCTCAGCTCACTGCAACCTCTGCTTCCCAGGTTCAAGTGATTCTCCTGCTTCAGCTTCCTGAGTAGCTGGGATTATGGGTGCACACCACCATGCTCAGTTAATTTCTTTGTTTTTTATTGTTTAGTAGAGATGGGGTTTTGCCATGTTGGCCAGGGTGGTCTCGAACTTCTGACCGCTGGTGATCTACCCACTTTGTCCTCACAAAGTGATGGGATTACAGGCGTGAACCATTGCACCCAGCCTGATTTTTTTTTTTTTTTAAACAAAAGAGGCAAAGATAGACCTTCCTCTTTTTGCTCAGTATTATGTGTTTGAGATTCATTGACTCCTTTTGCTGGCTGTTTAGGTTTTCACCAGATACATTACCATAAAATTACAAATGGACACTTAGATTGTTTCTAAGTTATTTGTTTCAATAAATAAAAGATGGAAAATCAAATTTCCTGGCTGGGTGCGGTGGCTCGCATCTGTAATCCAAAGCGCTTTGGGAAGCCAAGGCAGGCAGATCGCTTGAGCCCAGGAGTTTGAGACCACCTGGGCAACATGTTGAAACCCTGCCTCTACAAAAAATACAAAAATTAGCCAAGCATGGTGGTGCGCGCCTGCAGTCCACTATTTGGAAGGCTGAGGTGAGGGAAAAGCTTGGGCCCGGGAGGCAGGGATTCCAGTGAGCAGAGATCGCACCACTGTACTCCAGCCTGGGGCTTGGGTGACAGAGTGAGACCCAGTCTCAAAAAAAGAAAACAGAAAAAAGGAAAATCAAATTTCCGGAAATGAAATTACTGGGTCTTGGCCAGGTATGATGGCTCATGCCTGTAATCCCAGCACTTTGGGAGGCCGAGGCGGGTGGAACACGAGGTCAGAAGTTCAAGACTAGCCTGGCCAAGATGGTGAAACCCCGTCTCCACTAAAAATACAAAAATTAGCCAGGCACGGGGCAGGCACCTGTAATCCCAGCTTCTTGGGAGGCTGAGGCAGGAGAATTGCTTGAACCTGGGCAGCAGAGGTTGCAGTGAGCCAAGATTGCGCCGATGCACTCCAGCCTGGGTGATGGAGTGAGACCCCATCTCCAAAAAAAAAAAAAAAGAAATTACTGGGTCTTTTTTACATTTTGATAGTTGTCACCAGTTTGTCTTTCAAAGAGGTTGTTTTCATTGACATCTTTGCCTGCGATGTCTGAAATCTCTAAACAGGGACTTTATATGAAAATGTTCTGTCTGTTTTTGGCCAGAAGAATCCGCAGGGAGATCGTGAGTGCCTGGCTGAGAATCTGCATGAGCTCAAATGCGTAGGCCCTGATGTGAGCATTGGTTTTTTCCTGAAAACAATTTGTCATGTTTACAGGAAATTTTGCCAAGGAACCCCTTCAAATTCCCTTGGAGGGGCATCAGAAAGTCAGGCTGGCGTTTTAAAGCCTTTTGTTTTTCTAGACCGAAGACAATTGACTTGGTTACATTCGTTTGTTTGAGT